CCAAACATTTAATTTTTGTGGCTACTGTGTATGAACCTCATGATAAATTCTGGGATTAGAATCGAACCAATATCGGCAGTTATGACGATTTACTACGCCACTTACGAAAAAGTAACATTCGTCGGACAAGCAAGTGTTGTATAGTCTGTCTAGTCTGTAAGATGATATTTCTTCGGTTTTTTTTTTTACGTTTTTTCACACAATACCCCTGCAGAAATATCTGATCAAAGACAGCCTGAGCTTTCAAAGCTGTTTCTTCAATATACGTATAAACAGTTGTTCGTCAAATATGGATCGAACAATATGCATATCAGTTATTGATCTAGAAAATTATGGTTTCATTTAATTAACTGATTAAGCAGTTTCTAAATAAAAACTAGCCCGAAGCATTACCAAGGCCTGTGAAAAATTATATTTGAATACGAAAATTACGTAAATGTGTTCGGCAAATAACGGTAGCTGAAGCGTAATGAGTTTAGAGTAGTTTTTAAATGTTTCTTGACGCTTGAGTTGATGTGGTTTATGCATTTTTTCGAGCAATCGCGGCCTTCCTCTACTTCCTCGTATTAATTTCTGGCGGAATGCTACGAAAAAGTGGATACTCAATCAATTTTCCCCATTATATGACAAAGATAATTTGTGGTATCTAGGCTAATTAGAAATTGGTGACCACTTTTTCTAGTAATATACAATTTGCAGAATTCAATAAACGTACGCTGTAACTTGTCACAAGGCCTACAATCGTAAATTTACAGGATACCTTTCCCCTCCCCTTGCAATAAGGAGGTCAACATGTTACTATACTATAGACCTAAATATACTAAGTGACATATAAATCTGAACACCCAGTTTAAATGGTTTTATTTTAATAAAATTTTGTATAAGTACTTAATGAAGCATAATAAGTAAATGATAAAAATTTCAAAATGATTGCACTGCTTTAAAGCCCCTTGACCTTTAATAATGTGTGGATGCACCCTGATGTGCTACGCATTCTCCAACGCGCCTAGGCCTGCTTCTGATCAGGTAGTCAATGTCCTCCTGTGGTATCTCATTCCAGGCAACCACCAACTCCTCTCGAAGTGCTTCTAGAGTCTGAGGAGGACGTTGCAAATTGAGCAATCTCCTACCCATCATATGCCACACGTGCTCAATTGGGGATAAGTCGGGAGATCTTGGTGGCCATGATAACAATGTGACATCATTATGTTGAAAGAAGTCTATTGTGACTCTTGCAACATGTGGTCGGGCATTATCTTGTTGGAAAGTTGGACATGTCAGGGTGTCAAGATAGGGTAAAAGATGGGGTTCTAGAACTTCGTGGATATAACGCTGCGCGTTCATGTTACCTCTGATGAAGATTAAAGGTGACCTGGAACCATAAGCTATAGCACCCCAAACCATAACTCCAACAGTGTGATGAACATGTCTTTCAACAAAAAACTGTGGATTCCTCCTTTCACCACGACGCCTTCTAACTCTGGCACGACCATCGTGCATGCAAACAAAATCGAGACTCGTCACTAAAGACAATACTGTTCCATTCCTGATCCCAGAGTGACCGTTGTCTGCACCACTCAAGGCGATTACGTCGGTGTTCTCGAGTTAAAGGGAGGACCCAGTGTGGCCGGTATGAAAACAAGCCAAAACTTCTCATTCGTCGCATGCCAATAGGTCTTCCGTGTTCTGCAAACGATTCATTTGCAATGGACCTGGTAGTGGAGAAACGGTCCCTTAAGGCCAATAATCTTAGGCGGCGATCTTCACGGTCTGTTGTTCTACGGCGGCGTCCAGTGCTCCTTGCTCTTTGCGTACGGCCTTCTCGAAGCCATGCCTGACAACACCTAATCACAGTGTCTACCCTTCTTTGCACTCTAACTGCAATTGCCCGAAAAGAAAGTCCAGCTTCCCGAAGTCCCACTATGCGGCCCCTATCAAACTCACTAAGTTGACGAAATCGTACAGGTCTCCGTACTCTAGGCATCGTAACCCATCGTAAAGGATGTCAAGAACCAAAATCCGCCAACGTTGATTCTTTACTGCGGCTGAAATATTCATTTTTAGAGCGATAGTGAATTAAAAAAAAGCAGTATAAAAACCGGAATGTCCAACTGATAAGGCTGAAAATTTTTTCACTTGTTATTTACAGTAAGATAAAAACATTCACCAACTTTTATTAAAATAAAACCATTTAAACTGGGTGTTCGGATTGATATGTCACTTAGTATAATAAGGGGCCTAACACTGTCCCTTGTGGGATACCATACGTGATCAATTTGTTTGTGCTTAAGGAATTATTTATTTGTACGGACTGTGTTCTGTTGGAAAGGTAACTTTGCATGAGGTTATAAGTCTTGCCTCTAATTCCTGAGTCGTGTAAGATTTCTAATAGTAGCAAGTGGTCTACTGTGTCGAATGCTTTTGCTAGATCTAAAAACACGCACAGGGTATATTCACTTTGGTCCAGTAATTTGTATAATTTCGATGTCAAAAAAGAAATTGCGTCTTGGAATCCAAATTTGTTTTCATTAATCAGATTATGTTTATCAAAAAAATGTTTTTATAATTTTCTCAATAATTTTTGCAAAGTTGGATATTAGAGTTATAGGCCTGAAATTGTTAGTATCTGTTCTTTCACCGGAGTTGAGGATGGGTTTTACTACTCCTACTTTATGATCATCTGGAAATTCTCCCGATTCAATTATCAACTTTGCTATGTACGTCAATTGTTTACTAGTTTCGGATGAAATTCTCTTTAATATTTCTGATCGTATACCATCAAGACCTGAACTTTTTTTATTTTTCAAACTGTGTATGGCATTTTTTATTTCATTCTCAGGCACAGGTTCTAAGAAAATCGATTGCTGTATACATTTTCTAGACGGAATATTTGTGTTAGGTTTATTTATTTTCATTGCTAATTTTTTCCCTATTTCTATAAAGTAATTATTGAATGCATCAGCCATATCTTTACTTGTGTTAAGTGTTGTATCATGGACGTTTATTTCTTCAATTTTTATTTCAGGTTTGGATGATTTACAGATCTGATTTATGGTATTCCATAGCATTTTAGAGTCGGATTTGTTGTTTTGCAGTTTTTCTGTGTAATATTTTTGTGTTGAAATGTTGATCAATTGACAGAGTTTAGTTTTGTAGTACACATAATTTTGTTTTGTTTCGTCTGTTGGATTTGTCTTATATAATTTATATTTTTCGTTTCTTTCGTTGATAGATTTAATTAGTCCAGCAGTTACCCAGTTTTTTCTTGGCCGGTCTTTACCATTTATTTTAATTTTCTTGGTATTTTTTGATTTACTTTCAGGGATTGTTGTAGTCAGATATTTAGTTGCTGCGTGGACATTTCTTATATTATATAAGTTGTTCCAGGTTTCAGATTTTAAGTCTATTATTAATTTTTCATAGTTTATATATTCTTTATACTTCGCTTTATTAGGGTTAGTATGTACAAAATCTTCAAGGTTGAGGGGTAGAGTTCATACTGTACTATAGTGATCAGTAATATCTGATTTTATTACGAAAGCTTTATAATTACTATTTTCCTGTTTATTTTTAAAAAAAATGTGGTAATACATTTTGTTGTTAAGGTTATCCCATACCAAACATCTTTTTATTTGATGCAAATAATGTAATAATAATGGATACCAATGTTCCTGAATTTGTGTGTTTCTCAAACAGCAGGACATAACATTGTCGTATTTTTACGTCACAAAAATACGGGAAATAGAATATACTGATTTTAACAAGAGAGGGATATAAATCTCCAAAAGCTTGAGAATAAAATACCACTGTTTGGGATCTTTTTCATAATTTTGATCGAAATATCTTCGTGTTTAAGCATGCAGAAGAAAGTTCTAGAACTTTGTGCTTTAATATTATATTATATTCAAAATTAACAGTACTGGTAAAATAGTCAGTTTTGCAGACGATACTGCTATACTCTATAAAGGTAAGGATTGGAACGACTTAAAAGATATTATCCAAAATGACTTTTGCAAAATTATTCAGTGGTTTAATAACCGAAAATTAACAATTAACTTTACTAAAACTCATTTTTTACCATTTTCATCACTATCTAATCATCTACCAAAATATAACCACCTTCGGTTTAAGGTAAATGATAAAAATATAAAAATCAATAGAGTTAATGATACAAAATATTTAGGAATTTATCTAGATCCCCACTTGAGATGGGATGTACATATTTCTCACATACTAAAGAAAATCAGATTCATAGCATATAAAATAAAATTTCTAACCGGTATATTAACTGAATATTATCTACGAATAATATATCGAGCTTCAGTCGAGCCACACATAACATATGGTGTAGTAGTGTGGGGTGCTGCATGCACGACATACTTTAACGATTTAGATGTACTTCAAAGAAGAATTTTAAAATCAATGTTAGGCAAATCAAAATTATACCTAACTAATGACTTATATAATGATGCACAAGTATATGATACTAAACAACTTTACTTCTTACATACCATCACTCATTATCACAAAACTATTAGTGAACACGACATAATTAAACATAATCATAAAACCAGATATAAATTACGCGCAAAAAATGTTCCTAAACCAAACAAATCCCTAATGAAACGATGTCACCTGTATATAGCTCCAAAATTGTACGAACATTTACCAAATAATTTAAAACAATTACGCAATACATTAGGCTTCAAAAAAAAATTAAAAAAATTTATTAACACGATTGGGAGAAATCAAATTAATAAAATAATCTCAAATATAACACAATAAATGCTCTACCATTCTTACCAATAATTTCTTTTTTCTCTCTATTTTATTATATTTTGCAATTCAACATACATATGATCCATGCACAGGCGTTGTCCTCCTATGGATATATTATATTTATTTACTCGTTTCATGTTCCCTGTATTTTAGAGTAAATAAATATTATTATTATTATTATTAAAGCTAAATTTTTTCCAACAATAAAAATTGTCACTTACTCTCTATCCTCAGTCGTTGAGCCTTGTCTTCCGCATTTCTGTTTTCCTCTTCAGCCATTTCTATAGTCAAAAATATAGCAGCTCCCAGTAGTAGGTAGATGACGAATAGACACAGCACTAACAGCCACTGCTTCTTCGACATCATTTTCACGTCCTCGGTGCTGAAATGCAACATCGGGCAATGCTATCAAACTCATTTTGTCTCTAACACAAGGAATGCCTCAAATACTCTTAGAAAGTAAAAAAATGAATGCACTAGAATCGGTTTTAGTTGAGTGTTTTCTCTTAGACATGTTAATGTTTCGTTGCCGACCTGTAGAATGCAATACCAAGTTCAGGTTTATCAACTGTTTGATTGGATTTCCACTCCAAAAAGTATACTAAGTGACATATAAATCCGAACACCCAGTTTAAATGGGTTTATTTTAATAAAATTTTGTATAAGTACTTCATGAAGCATAATAAGTAAATGATAAAAATTTCAAAATGATTGCACTGCTTTAAAGCCCTTTGACCTTTAATAATGTGTGGATGCACCCTGATGTGCTACGCATTCTCCAACGCGTCTAGGCATGCTTCTGATCAGGTGGTCAATGTCCTCCTGTGGTATCTTATTCCAGGCAACCACCAACTCCTCTCGAAGTGCTTCTAGAGTCTGAGGAGGACGTTGCAAATTGAGCAATCTCCTACCCATCATATCCCACACGTGCTCAATTGGGGATAAGTCGGGAGATGTTGGTGGCCATGGTAACAATGTGACATCATTATGTTGAAAGAAGTCTATTGTGACTCTTGCAACATGTGGTCGGGCATTATCTTGTTGGAAAGTTGGATGTGCCAGGGTGTCAAGATAGGGTAAAAGATGGGGTTCTAGAACTTCGTGGATATAACGCTGCGCGTTCATGTTACCTCTGATGAAGATTAAAGGTGACCTGGAACCATAAGCTATCGCACCCCAAACCATAACTCCAACAGTGTGATGAACATGTCTTTCAACAAAAAACTGTGGATTCCTCCTTTCACCACGTCGCCTTCTAACCCTGGCACGACCATCGTGCATGCCTAAACAAAATCGAGACTCGTCACTAAAGACAATACTGTTCCATTCCTGATCCCAGAGTGACCGTTGTCTGCACCACTCAAGGCGATTACGTCGGTGTTCTCGAGTTAAAGGGAGGACCCAGTGTGGCCGGTATGAAAACAAGCCAAAAATTCTCATTCGTCGGTAAACACTTCGCATGCCAATAGGTCTTCCGTGTTCTGCAAACCATTCATTTGCAATGGACCTGGTAGTGGAGAAACAGTCCCTTAAGGCCAATAATCTTAGGTGGCGATCTTCACGGTCTGTTGTTCTACGGCGGCGTCCAGTGCTCCTTGCTCTTTGCGTACGGCCTTCTCGAAGCCATGCCTGACAACACCTAACCACAGTGTCTACACTTCTTTGCACTCTAACTGCAATTGCCCGAAAAGAAAGTCCAGCTTCCCGAAGTCCCACTATACGGCCCCTATCAAACTCACTAAGTTTACGAAATCGTACAGGTCTCTGTACTCTAGGCATCGTAACCGATCGTAAAGGATGTCAAGAACCAAAATCCGCCAACGTTGATTCTTTACTGCGGCTGAAATATTCATTTTTAGAGCGTTAGTGAATTAAAAAAAAGCAGTATAGAAACCGGAATGTTCAACTGAAAATGTTTTCACTTGTTATTTACAGTAAGATAAATACATTCACCAACTTTTATTAAAATAAAACCATTTAAACTGGGTGTTCGGATTTATATGTCACTTAGTATATAACAGCCTCGTAATCAGTTTGAGTGAGATTGAAAGTGAAATACGGCAATGAGGTAGTACATTAGTTTGTTTTATTATTGACATTTCTACGAACTATTCCTTGTCTAGGTACTATGATTGGTATTTTACACTAAACATTGCTGTGCCTCTCACTCGGGGAATAAAATGATTGGGTTGAACCATTCACACTTTCACAAAAAGCTATCTCTTGCCGATAATCGCCCACCTCGAGAAAAATTTCTGCGGGCCAGTGCCACCTATGATCTATAACGCACTGACCTTTTCAAAGTAGATTTTTAATTAATGCGGAGAGAAGAAACAGCTACGTGAAATTTTCAAAGATGATGATACACACTTACGTGGGATTTTTCCGCATTCGGAGATGTTCGTCTTACAACGCTGGAATTGTTAACGGTTCAATAACTTGTTGCCTTCTGTGTTGTATCTGCTTTTAGTAATACCCAATTTTCAAATTATAGTTAAGCCTTTAAGAACTATTAGCGGATGAATCATAAGAAAAATAAGAATGGGTTTCTAGTAATGGTTAATTATCAGGATTAGGTGCATGGGTGTTATGTCAGGTAGCAGACGGGTTGATGTTACCTAGACTCCCTAGGGTTAAGGCGGCTCCGAGCTCCAAGCCATTTACAAGGGTTTAGCTGCTTAGAAACTGACACTCCATTTTTCAATATTTTTGGATGAAATTCATACAGTATGTTCAGAAGATAATTGCCGAGAGTGCTATAGGAGCACTTTTTGAAATTTTGTTTTTGCACAAGTTTTATGATGGGTAGAAGTGCGCACTTTTTCTGTTCAACTTCGCGATTTTTTTAAAAAGGATTTAGTGGAAAAAATGAAAAGTGGCTCGATAGCATCGTGTGGGGTTTTGTTTTCCGTACACTGTGAAAATTTCATTCAAAAAATCAAGAAATAAAGCGTCAATTTCGAAGCGCGCAAATCTCTACTAATCGTATTTTGGACGAATTTTGTCGACTGTGTCCCGCTGTCAATCCGAGCGTTGCGGGGCAATGTACGGACTAAGAAAGGACGTATTCAGATAATTTGGTGGCCCTGTTTCATGTAATATCCATAGATAAGTCGTTCTGCAAATAGGTACTCACAATCGCGATCGCTGATACTCCTCGATTTTAAAGCTGTTTTACGTCCCACTCCAGTTGAGATGTTATGTTTTTTAAGTCATATGATATCTACATTACGAAACAAAAAACACGGAGTTACTAGTATGCCAAACCTTTGTGGTTTTAGTCCAGTGGAAACGGTGCTATAGACAAAAAAGAAAAAGTAACAACTCCGTTTTTGACGTTACAGGGGTTCCTTATCATTGATAGAAAAAAATTGTACTGCTTAAAAAGTGGGGGTTGGGGGAAGGTGATCCTAAATGTTGAATCTTTGATATCAGTGAAACACGTTCTATTATTCAGAAGCTTCCGATCCCAGTCAGTGATTACAGGAAATTTAAGTAACGCAAATCCGACGAATAATGTGCTCACGTTTTGAAAAAATCGGTACCTGCTCTATAGGTTTGACACCAAGATCTATCTGCAACTGCCGACACTAGGGAAGAATGAATTTGGATATCACTCCAGTCAAGTATAGGGGAATTTAGCGTGGAACTTTAAAATTATTTATATGTCAAGGAAATATGTTTTTGAGAACGATAATTTGGTAGATTTTTTACCTGCGTTTCATTTGAATTTCATGACCCAAGAAATGTACCCATTTCGCCGTTACCTTCAATTTGTGTTCTGCAGTTTGTGATGTTTTTCTGGATATAAGCAGGGCATAATTGCCTAAGGTGCTATCAGAGCTTTTTACAAAATTTTGTCTTTGCGCGAGAATTATGGTGGGTTGAAATGCTTACTATTTGTGCTCAACCTCTTGATATTTAAAAAAGACCCTAATGGATAAAATCGAAAAAGCGGATCGTTAGCACCCTGCGGACTTTGTTTTCAGCACGCTGCAAGAGTTTCATTTGGAAATAATAAAAAATGAAACGTAAGCTGTGAAGTGCAAATCGGTTTTTGGGCGAAATTCGTCTACTGTTTCGTCCTGCCAGTCCAAGCGACACGACCGTGCGTTCCGACTAAGAAAAAATGTATTCAAATAATTTGATATCTTTCCTAAAATAAATTCAAGAGCTCAAATTCAAATTCGTTTATCCATGTCAATAAACCCAATTATGTTTACAAGGGTCGTATGGTACATGGTAACAATTGAACGAGGGTTATAAAAATATCTTATGCCGTCAAAATAAGAGGAAACAGTTAAGTAGTTTTTGCAAAGCAATAAACAGGTAGGCTTATACCTGGATTAAGTACATTTCTTGTCTACTGTAATAGGTAGATGGAGGCGATGCTGCCAGAAATGGATGTGTGCGATCAATAAACAAACCACAAGACTGAACTGCGGTGTCCAATGATTCCTGTATTGCCTTTTTTATTACCTTACTGGAAAACTCTGTTGGATATATGATGGACTTTACTAGAACTTTACAGCTTGTTGCCTGCCTGCTTCTACCAACTTCACCAAATCGAGACGCTGTCAACTTTTCCTCCGATGAAGGCGCGACAATGTACAGCCCTGTGATTTGGTGACTTGTTCAATCTCCAAAATCTCGTCGTCACTTTTTTTAAGTTTCCCTAAATATTCTCGCTTAGCAACCTCCAAATCAATGTAGTTAATGTCAGGTTTTTGACTGAATTCGCCATAAAACTATTCATTTTCTTTGGAATCGCTATCCGAATTGTTAGTTATTTTTGTATCAGCTTTTTTTGTCTGAGTTTCTGTTCAAGATTCTTGCTTCTAAGTCTTTGTTGCAATAATTTATTCATTTACCCCCAATGTATTTTGCGATTATAGAGTTGAACTGCTCCACACTATTGTTGACATCTTGAATTGAACTCACTGCATTCGTAATTAAAATGGTCGTATATGACCCTTTATTGTCCATTCACTGATCAACAGCCAAAAAATATCCTAAATAAAATCAACAAAATATTACTATTTTTAATGCGCTAAAACCGGAATAAAACTTATTTTTTCAATATTAGTTCAAGTTTTAGAGATACGGTAATTATATGTGTTCCTGCTGAGACAGTGTTAATATACTGTAATTCACAAGAATGCACGTGCTACATTTTTATATTCTGCAAGGAAAGATGATGTAATCGGCATGATTGTGTTACGTTATACATACGTGTACATTATATTGTTTTATATTAGCCATTTTTTCCTCAGTTGGCTGACAGCGTTCATGCAAGATGTCTCGAAAGTGTGTAAACAATCCAGATCAGTTTTGTTACGTGTGTGGTGATATGACTTTTGCGTCTCAGAGACGGTCTATTAC